GAGTACTCTTTTTATCCTAACAACTCCTAAATCCTAAACTTCGGGTTAGTAATAGGTCGAGTTTCAATTCGGGTCAGGTCAATAAGAAGTCGGGTTGAATTTGGGTCGGGTCAATAACAAGTCAGGTTGATTTCGGGTTGGGTTTGTAACAGGTCGGGTTTAAATTCGAGCCGGGTTAGGAACGGCTCGGGTTGACCTCGGGTCGGGTTAGTAACAGGTCGGGTTGAATTCGGGTTTTGACGGGTTAAATCGCGTTTGGGTCAATAATAATAATTTACGAGTCACATTCGGGTCGGTTCATCTCTGGTTGGGTCATGGTCAGGTTCGGGTCTCAAATGGGTCAACTCGGGTCTAGGGTTGGTTTCAGGTCGGGTTAGTTCGGGTTAATGTCACCATTTTTTTCGGGTTCAGACGGGTTAGGGTTAGGGTCGGGTTAGGTCGGTATTTCGGGTCGGGTCACGCTTTTGACAGCTCTAGTTGGATGTACCATCATCCGTGTCCGACACGATCCGTAACCCAACCCATCCACCATCTATCCATCATCCGCTTAAGTTTGGGTTATCCATCGGGTTTGGACGATATTGCCACCCTTGAATTAAAGTGGTAATAAGTATAACGTGACTAGTTGAATATAGTGTGCGTGAACTTAAAAAACAAGTAATATAAACAACACATTAAAGGATTAATCAAACACATACAAGAAATATTTAAGAAGCCATATTTTAGAAGCCGAGTCATTTTAAATGGCTATTTGACATACGTCATACGTAGACGTTCATTACCAATTAAATTGTTTTAGCCAAAAGAGGAATAAAATAACATACGGTATTACAATAAACTACAGTCCATACATTGACCAAATCTGAAATAAAAAGTACAAAAAATAAATCCAGGGCAATGAGTCTGATTTAGTTGGGAAGATTTGTGCCTCCAGTGCTTGTAACCCCTGCCATGTGACACAAATTTTGGAAACATAATTAGCACATCCAATTACACTACATTTTGTTAATTAAATTAAACTCTAAAATTGATTCATTATAAGGCAATTAGAATTATAATCACCCTGCATAAACACATTGAGCACTGAATCAGGGAAGATGGTTGGACGATGCTCAATCATTACTGCACCCGGAACCCATAGGACAGCCACACCTCCATCGAATGAATTCACCGGTGTCGTCAAGTGATGGTACCTCCCCCTTACCTGATTGATCATAGCAGCCACATTCTCCCCCGCGTGCCTGATCTCTAACAAAATGACTATCGTTGGGTTGTGGACATCGCATAAGATGTTGAAGTTCGCTACAAAGGAAGGTCTCGTGATTCCACGAACACTCCAACAAGCTATGCGTGTCTGAGGGCTAAGGGGAGTATATCCCGGCTGAAATGGTTGACAAACTAGTGGATCCATGATCACCGTGTGGAAAGGTGCTTTGTAATAGGGGAAATTATTTCCATGGTGTGACACCTTCAAGCCTAATTACAGAGTAGTGAAGCGGTGCATCGACAACCTGTAGAGCATCAGAGTAGGTTGCCATACATAGATAAAGCTTTTCGTACATCAGCTTAAAACTTGGTGTCCCAAAATTGTGTTGGGGTTTTGGGTGAAGTAATTTAAGAAGGTGGGGAGGAATGGCGTGATAATTCTGGAGGTACCATTTAATCGCATTTTGGAAACTGGTGGGAAGGGGGTGGCAATCACGGATGCTTGGGAGGTGGGCAGGTTGTACAGCACTATCCACGTCGCATGTTTTCATCTTCAAGTTTCGCAATGGGTATGAGGAATTTTGAGGCATAAGGATAAAGCTGGAAATGATTTCTTTCGACACAGTGGGTTGCCGGCTATTGCCTGCGACACCGGAGTGTAGGTAAGTGGTTTTGTTGATGTCCAGCTCATAGTCAACATCACCACCGCCGGGAGGTTTGAAAAAACAAATGATGGGATTTCGGCGAATTTCGAAGGAAAAGGGGGGAGGCATGGTTGCAAACACTGTGATTTTAGATTTTTTTTTTTTAATTTTGGTTTTTGAAGACACTGTGAGTTCAGACTTAGAAGATGAATGGGAAAACAGTGTGATTGAAGTGAAGCGCTGTGTTAAATGGTGGTCGTACACGTAGGACCAATCCTAGCAAACACTCCGAATTCATCATTATGTTAATTTTCGGTTTTGGTTTAAGTAGCAAATATAATTTTTAAAAAATTATAAATACATAACAATAATATAATTGCTTTTAAAAAATTTTGAAAAAACAAATATTAATATAGTAAAAAACAAAAAAATTAGTAAGGACATTATTATTATTATTGTTACACTTTTTGTTTTAAAATAAAGAGTTCTATATTGTACATAATTCCCTTTCCAATTTTGGTGTTTATAATGTAATTTTCTTTCAGTTATGGTGATTATTTGAAGTCCTGCGAAGGTGTTTATAATTCTGTAATGCATAGAATTTTGTTTCAACTCATATGAGTTGTGATGCTTGAACACGTATAATAATGCCATACACCTTGCAGCTCAACCATTTGTTGGACTTAAGAAATTACCTATTATTACCTTAAAATAATTTAGTTTCAATTATTACCTATAGTTAGCTTGATCAAGTAACCGCCAACGGTACAATTACGTCCCATTTACGTTTTTTGCTTACATTTGGGCGGTTTAACTTGGGGTTTATAGTTGTAGGGATTTAAGGTTTAAGAGTTTTGAAGGGATACAAGAAACGATAGAGTTTGCAGTTGTACGGTGTTTGAATTTGAGAGTTTAGAAGGTACAATGGCATGGGCTCAATAGGTTTACATTTGTACTGTGTTAGGAATGAAAGGTATAGAGGGGTTACAGGGGTATGGAATCGTTAGGAATTAGGGTTAATTAGGGTTAGGATATTTTAGGGTTTACTATAAGGGTTTATTAGGGTTTGGAATTAGGGTTTACTGTAAGGGTTTATTAGGGTTTGGATTTACGGTCTACGGTTAAGGTTTAAGTAGGGTTTGAACTATAGGGTTTAGGGTAAAGGGTTTACAAGGGTTTGGAATTAAGGATTAGTGTTAAGGGTTAAGTAGGGTTAATTAGGATTTTTTAGGGTTTACTGTAAGGGTTTATTAGGGTTTGGATTTACGGTCTACGGTTAAGGTTTAAGTAGGGTTTGAACTTTAGGGTTTAGGGTAAAGGGTTTACAAGGGTTTGGAATTAAGGATTAGTGTTAAAAGTTAAGTAGGGTTAATTAGGGTTAGGATTTTTTAGGGTTTACTGTAAGGGTTTATTAGGGTTTGGAATTAGGGTTTACTGTAAGGGTTTATTAGGGTTTGGATTTACGATCTACGGTTAAGGTTTAAGTAGGGTTTGAACTTTGGGGTTTAGGGTAAAGGGTTTACAAGGGTTTGGAATTAAGGATTAGTGGGGTTAAGTAGGGTTTGGAATTCAGGATTAGTGTTAAGGGTTAAGTAGGGTTTGGACTTTAGGGTTTAAGGTGGTTTGGACTTTAAGGTTTAAGAAGGGTTAAAATGGTTAGGGTTTAGGGTAAAGGTGTCGATTTGGCTTTATTGGGGACTAGGACCCACCAATTTAAAAAAAAATAAACTTGAAAAAAGGGCCTTTGTCTTGGGCTTTATATGGCGGTAGGAGTAGAGTACTGCAAAAAAAAAGAGTACAGTCAAAATATAATGAAAAAGGGGATAGTAAAATGGGGGAAAGTGATGGCTGACAAGACAATTCAAAGCTAGTAGTTTAATAGAGTTAAAGCATTTGTCTTGTCATACATTAGTAGGGTACTAGTTTTAATAATTAAAGAGGAAAAGTTGTACAAGTTGGAGGAAAACCGATAAAGCATATGGAAGAAAGTATAATATCTTTTAGCAATTTTGTAAGAGTAACTAGAGTACAGTAAAAAACGACGTGGGTCGTGGAAAATGAAACCCCTTGACGATGAACAGTGACAACCCCATGTGATAAAGTACATACTTGAAGTAGATCCCAATTAAAAATATAATTTTCCAGTACGGTAATTGTGACTCTTAAATTCGGGCCGGATATACTACAAAGGCCCGGTATATTAGACAAACTTTTCCCAAGTGGCTTTACAAATAATACTCCATGTATATACTACGGACCACAAATAACGGCAAATTAACAACGGCGTTAACATGGACTTCAGTAAATATGTAATTAGAGCCCAAGTTATTAGTTTATAACCTGTAAGTTGATAACCCGTCGATGCTACGGGTTATGAGTTTAAAACCCGGCGAAGCCCCGTGAATTTGATAACCCGTCGATGCGCTACGGGTTATGAGTTTAAAACCATGGTGCACCTATTTCTAGGTTCTACGGGATATGAGTTTAAAACCATGGTGCACCTATTTCTAGGTTCTACGGGATATGAGTTTAAAACCATGGTGCACCTATTTCTAGGTGCACGCCTATACTTTTGAACAATCAGTAAAAAAATCTGAACAATTGCAAATTTTGAACATGTAGTAAAAACATCTGAACATTGCAAATTTTGAACATTTAGTTATTAAATCTGAACAATTGCAATGCATCATGCCTATACTTTTGAACATTTAGTAAAAGAAATCTGAACAATCAAGAATTTTGAACATTTAGTTAAAAAAATCTGAACATCACAATTTTGAACATTTAGTAAAAAAAAATCTGAACAATCGCAATGCACCACGCCTATAATTTTGAAATTTTATTTAAAAAAATATGAACAATAAAATATTTTGAACATTTAGTAAAAAAATCTAGTTAATCGCAACTTTTGAATTATTACGAGTCAGACAAATTTTGAACTAACTCGTAATAATTCAATAGTTTTGTAATATAAACTGAACATTTAATGTATACAAAATGAACATTTCTTAATAAAATATGAACATTAAAATTGCATGTTTATGTTCAATTTTTGTGACGTGTTCATATTCTTTTTACTAAATGTTCATTTTTTGTAAAATGTTCAATTTCTTTTACTAAATGTTCAAAAGTATAGTCGTGGTGGTACCTATTTCTATGTGCACCATGGTGCACATAATACTAATTGTATTTTTAAATCTGGAGGGTCATTTTATTAGAGCCCGGGTTATTAACATATGTTGTTGTACATATACGTTGTTAACCAAATAAAAATATTCGAATTATCCAATTTTTTCATTTTTTTTTTGTAGGTACTTTAGTTGTATTGTATGTAGTTCTTAACGACTAGCTGAGTTGGATGTATTAGTAAAGATATTAACTGGATTGGATATTAACTGGATTGGATGTTCTTAGTAACGTCTATTTAATTATTAAAAAAGATGTTGCGTAAGATGTTAACAATGTATAATTAGGTTATATGCAAAATTGGTCTTAGAAGTATTACCCTTACCCAACTCAGAAGCAAAATTGGTCTAAATAAGTATATAATGTGGGACTTAGAAGCATAACCCTTACCCCTCTAAATATGCTCCTATATAAAGGCGTGTTGTATAGGCTCCCTCACCACCAGCCTCCTAAGCAACCGACATACAAAATGCCTTCCTCCTCGAAAGCTGATGTGATCTCCCAAGGTATTAGTGACAACATGAGTGATGATGCTGCTTCTCCGAGCAAACCAAGAGAGAAGATAGCTAGTCTCTCCTCCAGTCAGGAAGATAGGGCCAAAGTGAAAAAGAGCTTACCATTTGAGAGTGCAGACAAGGGAAAGGTCGTTGCCCTCACCCCTTCTGACGCCTTACCCCCAGTTGTTGGTAAGGGAAAACGCAAGTCACTTGCCTTATCCCCAACCAAAGGAGATAAGGGTAAGGGAAAGGATGAAGAAGGTATATGCAAAGATAAGAAAGGGAAGGGGGTAATGTCATCCAAAAAGGCTAGAAGGTCATCCCGAAAGAAAAGGAAGCTGGAGTCGAAGAAAGCTTCCTCAATGTTTGGTGAGGGTGAGGTGCATCCTTACTATAGGAAAGAGGTGCTGAATCCATGTGTGAAAAGCAAGATGCTGGCTCAACTGAGGACGTTTTTTGTCCAGGGGAATGATGACTCCTCCGGTAGTGACTCCTCCAGCTGCACTGAAGATGAATCTGAAGTGCGGCCCACTGTGAGAGAGTCCTCCAATGCAGGCAACGCGAATGCTGGTGAAGAGTTTGGGGTGATTGTGAGGAGCTTATCACCTGGAGACATAGGTGTGATGTACACTATCACCCTAGATCAAACCTTTGATGACATCTACAACGTCTATGGTGCTAAACTTGGTTGCCAGCCCACATCCTTTTGGCTGTCAAAGGAAACAAATGGTGTGCCTATTTATGCGAAAGACACCGCTCGACAAGCTTCAATTAGGAATAGATCAATTTTAAGCGCCAATGGGAAGGTACTTGTATTCTAATGTAGCTTTGGTTCTTGTTTTTAACTCACCCATGTTAGTAAATAAATAAAAGATGGATGGTGGTTGTGTTGTTTTTAACTATGGTGCTTGTGTTGTAAAATAAATCCAACTAACATAGTTCTAATTATCTTTGTTTTTATCTTTTAATTGTATTTATGTTGTTCTAATTATCTTGTTATGATAAATCCTGTGGATGGAATGTAATATATTTTTTTCAATAAATCTAATTTAGTTTGGGTCCTAACTAACATCTAATTTATCTTATTTGTAATTGTTTGAACTCAGTTTTGTTAAATGTAAAATATTTTGTTTGTAATAGTTTGAGCTTAGTTTTGATAAATCTAATATAATTTGTTTTAAATTTTTTTTTATTTTATTTATTAAGTCTAACATATTTTGTTAGTAATTAGTTGCTCTTGTTAATTTGTAAGATTAGTATGAAATATGCTTGAAAAGGTATTTGTAGCGTTATGATAAATTCACTTGGTGATATTTGTCTTATCTTATTTGGGTTAACTTTGTGATATTTGTCTTAACTTGGGGATTAAGGATCCAAAAGACAACATGAATACATCAATGAGGAGGTTCTATCTTGCTGATGTCAGTGGGTCTTCCAAGAAGATGAAGGTCCAAGCACAACTCCATGTCAAAATCAAAAAAATCTACCACATGGTTGCTGATATTTTCAAGGTTGATGTTAGTCGCATTGTTCTGTTGCACAAGAACATGATCTTAACACCGCAGCACACGGTTCAGAGCGCGGGTATCAGGAACCGCAAGCGTGTGTATATCCTTCCCATGAAGTGGTAGGAGGTGGAGCGGTGTTCGCCGTTGTTACGGTACTATCACCTAAATAATATGGACTAGACTTGGTGGCTGAAATGGTTTCATGTAGTAAGTTGTTGGATGATATTCTAAATTGTTGAACTGGATTTGTTATGGAATTGTAGGACTATATTCATGTGTTAATGGTATTGTGTATTGTTATGGGCTACACTTGTTGTGGTAATGTATTGTCTGTATTTTATTTTCAATATATGTTTGAAATGGAATAGGGCCCACAACCTAACTCTCCCTGGTTACAACATATGTTGATTAACAAATTTTAAGAAAGTCCAACTAGGTAGATGTGTTTCCATAACTAATATGTTTGTAATGGAATTGGGCCCACATAAACCATTTTGAAAAATCCCATGCTTAAACTTTTGGTATAGGCCCAATTGCCCAATTTCAACATATGCTGATTGCCAAATTTTAGAAAGTCCAACTATTAAGATGTGTTTCAATTAGATAATGTGTTTGTAATGGAATAGGGCCCATTATCCATTTTCAAAAACCAATCTCCATGCTTAAACATTTGGTATAGGCCCAATTGCCAAATTTCAAAAACATTTTCAACATATTCAACATATTCTGATTGCCCAATTGCTTAGGCCCAATAAATTGGTATGATACATTGATATAACATAACCCATACGACAATATTGTATACATGGGTTGGGCCATGTATGACATCCCCAGTATATGATTAATATATTTTTTTTAAATAGAAAAGGAGCTTAATTAATTAATAATGATGATCAAAGTACACAAAATTGGGCAGCTAAACACAAGCACGCTTAAGGCTACACTAATCAAGTTCCAATACTTAACAACGACAGTAATCTCGACCAACAAGCCATACTTAAGGCTGCACCTAGATGCTACCAGCACAGTCATCCTCATACACATCCAATAAGTAAGTTGTGGTCATAACAGGCATTCCCTTGTTTATATAATTCATCACCGAAATCTGAAAGTATCACAACTCAGTTACTAGATTTTACTAAAATTACTACTTAACATTACAAACTACAGAACACAATATTCGCAGCAGGTACAAATTGAAAGGGTGGAGTACTACATGGATAGCCTCAAAACGCTTCAGAACTACCTTTGGTCCATTCCATGTTGTTCGTGTCCATCACCAAGTCAGCATCATCAACAAGGCTTACACTATCACCATGTTGGGAGTTTCATACATCAGCATCATCAGCACTACCATATTGGGTGTTGCAAACATCAACCTCACTGGATCCAAGTCCTGGTTAGTATAATTAAATAGACCCACATTAGAGTTCGCATAACAACACAAGTCACGAGCACTTAAGGCCTGCTTAATAAACAAATTGATGCAACAACAACACAATATACCTGCAACTCTCCCAACTCATCATTCTGATTCGCCCCCTGTTCAACAAAGTCAAGATAAATGAGTTCACACCAAACATCATAGCCGCATGACCTTCACAAGCCATAGTGAAATGACTCAAAAATTACCTTAGTTTTCCTGGTCTTAGGTGGTTTATAACCTGTCTCAGAATATGATTTATTCCGAGAACCTTTAGGCCTGCCCCGAGGTCGCTTCTTAATTGGCGGATCTAAAATTGTAGCCTGTACATTAGAAGAAGATGGTTGACATGAACTGTGGATACCTAACTCTGACTAGGGTGGACACGAACTGTTGGAGTCTATCTCTGACTGGGGTGGAGGTTCACTAGACGGTGGGTTTTTTGTAGCCATTAACTCCATGTATTTCTTTCTCCTCTCCTTGACTTCGATATGGAGTTTAGATAATGCTTTCACCACTATGTCCACTGTTTCATCATCAGCAACTGCAGCATCATCACATATCGGCTCAAACACATTCATCATGTTGTTGAACTTCTTAACTTTTGGGGTCTGCGTGGGATCATGGTACGCAACCCTCACTCTAGTGTGCTTCCGAACAATATCTTTACGCCACCTATCGACGATGTATTTGTCGGGAATCTTACCACCTTGTTCTTATCCAACACACGTATGCAGTTCTTTCATAGGATGCCATGAGTTTCAAACCTTCTACAATCACATGAAACCTCCTTTGTCACATGATTGAAGATGACAGAGTAGTTACGTCATCGATCAGTGATTACTTCCTCGTTTTCACCTTCCGGTACAATCCAAACCCTATCATCAATCACATACCGAGTCGTACTTTCATCAATGACAGTTACCTCACCATCATAACAGTACATCATTCGGGTAAGTTCTCTTTGAATTTCCTGAAACTTAGCATCGGTGTATAACTTCTGAAATAATTTCTCATGTTTGAACCCACTCACAAGGCGTCTGATGTATTTGGTAGCCTTTGAGTCGGCTTCGTTCTCGTCTGAAAACCTCTTCTTCATTGCCCTTGTGTAGCGTACAGGGAATTCACACAACCTGGTTTTCCGATTAACAAACCCATCAAAGAAACTATTTATGCTCTCCACACGTTGCGTGGTTTTCATCCCCGCTTAGAAATACTCCCGCATATAAGCTGGAATCCACATATGTCTCTCCTTAAACAAGCCATCCAACCACTCATTCTTCTCCAACTTGTATTTTTTAATGCACTCGTGCCACCTTCTTTCAAACTCTTCCGCAGTAAAACTCTCATATATTATGGCCTTCAAGGGGCTCTTAAACTCTTTGTACCTATTGTGACACATATAATTTCATTATAAAAGCACCATCAGTTTACAATGCAAGCATTGAGTAAATCAATACGCAAAACAACCACAATCACACAGTGACAACCAATAATATACAATCAGCAAAACAAGCAATCACTTACTTGTCGCACTTTCCTAGTTTGTCACCAAACTTCCTGACAATATGCCATATACACCAGCGATGCCTGGAGCTGGGCATTGTTTGTACCAAGGCCTTCCTCATGGATGTTGCTTGATTAGTCAGAATAGCTAAAGGAGGTCTGTTGCCCATGGAAGCAAGCCACTGTCGAAAAACCCATGTGTATGTTTCAGCATCTTCTCGTGAAACTAGTGCACAACCCAATAGGATGGACTGCCCATGATGATTCACACCCACGAAATTTGAAAATGGAAGTTCATATCGATTAGTTAAATAGGTAGCATCAAAGCATACTACATCCCCAAAATACTCATATGCAGCCCGACTCCTGGCATCCACCCATAACACATCCTTCAACCGACCATGTGTGTCTAATCGGTGACAATGGAAAAAATTCTGATTGTCCGCTTGCATCCGGTCAAAATAAGCCATCATGGTTGTTGCATCACCACCCTCCATTTTCAGTCTCCTAGCTTTATAAACCTCATGTTCCATATCTTTCAAAGAAGGCAAGACCTCCTTCGTATGTGACATACCATTACGAATTTTGGAAACAGATACACCCTCTTCATAAAAATTAATCAGAGTCTTTCTCACATTTGAGGTGTAGTTCTGCATCCTATATTCTTTAACTAAGACTGCATCACTGGGCTTTTGGTCATGATTGTGCTCATTACAAACCTTCCTTAACTCCCACTCCTCATGTTCATTAACCCCGGCATATATCTTAACAGGGCAGTAACATTTTTTGGACTTTCTCTTGCCTTGGGCATGCTCTTGCACTCCTATGACTCAATTAAAATTACCTCCACACCCACCAACATCCATCGCCTTTGCCCTCTTCTTCGCCTCCCTTTGAGCCCTCATGTTAGGGGCACCCCAACACTCACACTTCCATGTCATGCATTTACGCTCATTGGTAACTTTAGATTTCGTTCCTTGCACCCTCGTAACCCCAAACCCCTCCAGCTCCCCATACTTTTTGTAATAAATCTCTATATCCTCCCATCTTCTAAAAACCATGCCAACTTTAGGGGATTCAACAACAGGACCAGGACTCCTCCTATTAGTTGAAACTACTGTCTCTATAGTCTGCACTGTATGAATGGGAGAACGGTATTCAACAACTTTAACAGATTGTTCTTCGCGGATGGGGGACATCGGAGGCATAAGATCAATGTCATCCATGTCATCTGCATAGTCAGACCAACACCCTTCACCAGCCACGTCGTCCATAGCATCACAGTCACCATCCATAATATCAACAAAGGTCAATAATTAATAGTTAGTTCCCTGTATCACAACCCGCATTGAGATTATACATTAACACTGATGAATATAACTAGTAAACCAACGTTTTTACATTGAAATTGCATTACATTTACATAATAACAACTAGTAACCTATTTGAAATCACAAATTCTACAATAAAGGCAAGATAATCTGAATTTGCTGAATTCCGCGCTATTAAACAATTCAATTCAATTAAACAATTCAATTAAACAATTCGGGTAAACAATTCAATTAAACAATTCAATTAAACAATTCAATTAAACAATTCAATTAAACAATTCGGGTAAACAATTCAATTAAACAATTCGATTAAAGCTAATAAAAAACAATCAATTACACCATTTAACTTAGCATTAAATATACAGAATATCAGCGGATAATTTTGCAAAGCCAAAACCAAGTAATCAGGATGGATAATTTCAAATGACTTCCTCTCAACGAGATTACTAGTTGGTCAAAAGCTAATTTATCGGAATCAAATCCCGCAATTATCAACAACTATTAACAAATAAAAACACCCCTTGCACAAATCTACGATATAAATTACCTCAATTAGATAGCAGAATTATAATGGCCTTCTCGATCGATCTAGTTGTTAATGTTGAATTTCGTTTGCTTTCTCCATTGTTCAATTTCAAGCTCCTTTTCCATTATTCTCTCTCCTCTCTCTTCTGACAGAGTTACTCAATTCACTTTCTCTCTCATGGTAAAAAACAAACGTTGAGTACTCACGGTTCATTTTTTTCCGTTTCAAACACCGTTAACTCCGCTTCTCTCTTCAAACGTTACCGCCAGCTGTCTTAGTTGCACATGGGCTTTTTAAACAATTGTTCACGGATTTCAATCCTCAGTATTTACGCTATTGCCATTTGATTAACCAAATTCGTTTCTCATTTTGAGAAACCGGGGCTCCCTCAATTTTCTAGATAATCATTGATACATACAATCAAGAAATTAATGATGGGCATTCAATTAAGATACATACAAATAAGATACATACTCAAGATCGAGAAGCCACATACTAGCTATTAGCCTTCCTACGTAATACACCTCCTTGTAATATCCACCTTCGCTCTCTGAATCCACTATTCCTATTTTTTGTACTTCAAAGGGGTCCTTGTACTCTCCTACTTTCATATAGTGTATTATTTTGGTGCTCGTCGTTTGTGAGTTTTTTTTTAAAAAAAATTCTACAAATATTGTGTGTCCATTTTTTTATAATTATTTTGCCTTTATTTTTCTAACCTACACACAAAAGATATCATCCAAACAATGAATGATATCATATATCTACCCAATTAATCCTATTATCTAACCTATACACACTAAATTATATACCTACATAATAGATGATATCATCTAGCCTAGACAATTTTATTTATTTTTTGATCTATTAATATCGTCAAAATAATCAATCAAATTGGTAAGGCGACGAAAGGCTACTTCAATCTAGGAAACTGCCGGAAACTCGAGAGGGTCGCCTCACCGACTTCTAATATTAGCCACATAATGAATTATATCATCCAAACAATTAACCATGTCAGTATAACCATACTAGCATTTCCTTTCTTGATAGGAAGATCGTTCGACTTGCTAGTTGCTACTGATCGAGTTTGCAATGAAGAGGAGTTTGAGGCGTGGGTTAAAGTCGGAAACAAAGTCAATGAGGAGGAAATACCAACTATCGAGGGGTTGGAAAGGCTTGGTATAGATGATGACGGTGGTGAGTGTATGAAAAGAGAATGTGTGTGGTATATGTCTACAAAAATTGAAAACCACGGACATTAAGTAGGGCGAAGATCATAAGTAGATGACTTTCTAAAAACCATAATCATGATTGTCATGTCGGAATTCCGTTGGTAAATGATACGAAGTATGGAGTACTAAATGTTTTCAATAGATTTACAAGATTTGTGAAACAGACACGTCCCAAGAGGGTAAGGCGATGGGATTTGTACCTAATGAGAATCGAACCTCAAGGATGCGAGGCGACCTCTTGGCCACTGTTCCAAGAGGTCTTTCTCAATTAATTAATTCTATGATTGGTTTATACTCAAGCTTAGTTTTTTCAATACAACTTTTTTTTATTATATTACTATAATAATGATAAAGGTTGAATTTGATATTAATTTTCACATGTACTTGTGACGTAGATCTCTCAAGACTCTCACAAGGCTCGCAGGCTATAATAACATTGCATCTTCCATCTTCGGATTTTAATAAGAACTAAAGAAACTACACGAAAATTAAAAGGATAGTACTCTGATTCTCGCAGGAATAGAGGGTCTCTTCCTAGTCGCAACTAGAAGATGATCACAAGTCGCAACAAGTGATGTTTTTGATTAACAATCAAACGAGCAATGCTCAAAGGATTAATTCCCATAACAAAACTCTCTTATTCTTGAACTATTATTGAGATACACCCATATTTATAGGGTGACAAATTGTACAAAGATAAGATAGGAAACTAATAATTATCCTAAAATAACAAAAAATATTAAGAATCCTAATCCTAATATATCTACTAATCATATTTTAACCAACTACTAAATCTTAAAATTCCATGAATTTTCAAGAATAACCATATTGGCCTATTGCTCCCGCATCAACTTGGCCTGGGTTAGTGAGTAAGAGTACATAATATAGTATCTGCATAGGCTAGGACCTTTGGTGACAATTGACAAGGCAATGCTTCTCAAATACTTTGAAGCAATTACTTGCTTCTTTGAAGTTCTTGGCATTGAAAAATTCATTGCCATACTGCTTCAGGAAAATTCTGCAAATAGCATAGAATACAGAGTTGTTAATATGTTTCTCTAAAATTGTGAGTCGTGAGACTAACAATAACAAGCAATTAAATGCATATACAAGAAAGCCCAAATCATTTTAAAACTAAGACTTTGTTGTTATTTATACAAAGAAACCTGAGGAGACAATAATAAAATGACCTCCGCGATGTAATGTACTTGCAAAGCAACAAATGTGAGTAGATCAAACTAAAGTTCAAAGAAAGTTTTGCGCACTGCTGCAAATGATATCGAAGACACAAATCAGACCCGGCTATAAGGAGGTTTTTCCTCACACACGTAATAGGGCCCCAAAAAATCAGGGGCCCGCAATTTAAAAAAAAAATCGTTGACTTAAAAAAAATTACTTCACCTATTCATCTTCTTCCTCGTAAAAACCTCCATTTTGAAACCAAAACCCAAAAAATCTTCCTATAAAAAATTCATTCTCTTTTGTCTTTTGATTTCCAAAACAAAATTACATTCACTCAATAATTATCACTCATAAACGCCTAATTTGCCTAATTATCTCCAATTCACTTAATTTTTTCTTTATTTATTTGGCAAAATTGAACAATTTATACTCTTATCAAAATCAATGACGATGCAATAGATATTAACGGTCAAAATTTTATTAATTTATACTAATTTCTAAATCAAGCAATACCCACAAAATATTACAATTCAGTTTTCTTTCAATTTTAACTCAATTCAAAAGGTGGAAAAAACGTTAATGGAAGCACTCAATATTCTGGCGAACTGTTCTTGTTTGGTGGATCTGGAGTGGGCAGAGGTTGATTACTTGATTAAAGAGCAGGTTGTATCTATCTATATATATTTGTTATCTTAATTTATGCATAATTTGTTTATTTCTGAAATATAAATTGTTGTTTTTTTTTAATTATGGCTCCTAAAATTAGGCAATATGATTCTGGTTGTGAAAAACGTCAAAAAAAAATTGAAGAATTGACTCAATCTAGAAATATGATTCTTGTTGTGAAAAACCAAAAAAAAAATCATTTTATAATAATAATATTTTAAACTTTTTATAAATAGTCCTTTAAAAATTTAAGGGCCCAATTTTTATAATTAGAACAGGGCCACCAAATTGCCGGAGACGGCCCTGACACAAATTAAAGAGCTGTAACAGAACGACATAACTTGATAGCCAAATGTAATCACAAACACAGCCTTAGTCTTAGATAACCATACACTACAATTTCAAGTTTCAACATTAGAGGGGGAGGGGGATGCAACTATGGAAATATAGAAGCTGCCTTTGAGGCTGTTATGCAGCTTGAAAACAGACAGAACCAATGATTATCTTTATCACTTGTGCGTCAACTCAGATTTTGTTAAAATTAAATCTTGTGTTTCTGTTTCATGCCAGAAGAAAGCAGATTGAAAACTTTGGAATTACTCCGTCAGTCCATCTTCAAGTTAAATGCTAATACTGAGTAGAAGGATTCAGCTTGTATTCATCATTTCATCGACACCAATGAGCAGCCTACGAAGTGATTAGACCCATGAGTTACAGAAACTGAAAATGACAAAGAAACAACAAATTCTCACACATTAAAAGACTGAAGATCCATATTTTTAAAGCAACGCAGCCACGAGTTCAAAGAAGCCAAAAATACTATAAAAATAAAATTTGCAATTTACACTTTAAAATGATCTCTCCCAACCCATGAATTGAGAGTTGAGACTAGAAATTGGGATTGACATAGCCAATAAAATCAGGTTCAAAATTAAGAAATTAGGAGCAAAAATTATACATTCTTCAGGAATCAATAAACTGCAAGTCTACAAACAAAGGAAAGGTCCTCAGTCTAAACAGGGTAAAAGTAAAACCAACTACAACATACAAACAGATGCAATATTACAAATTGCGGCAAATTTTTTTCCAGGCAACCTTAAAAATTTACTTCGTATGTGGCTAGTATTTCTAGACGTAGGGAGAATCACATAGCAGTATTTACTATTTAGATTATCCAACATAAGAGATAACTTGTGATAAATCGGAAGACACGCATGAATATTAGAGAGGATATCTTCTAAAGGTTGATTACTCTCATTTAGAAAGTTATATCATAAAACTTTACACCTTACACTTAGCTCAAGTGACAAGTTAACAACTCTTCTTCAAGCCTTCCTCAATTCCTGTTCAACATAAAAGTCTCACTACATTGTTAACCCAGCTCACATACCACTTTAGAAGCAGAGCCTAAAATGCTGCCATTGTTAATTTACTTGATCATACCGAGTCAAAGACAGGCATGCTAAAAATTGTCCTGTAAGTATAAACACTTTGGCATACCTTCTTTTTAAGGTATTTCATTGCACCCCCTTGGAACCTTTATAAACCTTTTAAAGAGGCATCCTCACACTTTTTACAATTTCAATTTCAAAGGTAATAAGACTAATAGCAGAAGCAGCCAACTACTTGAGGTAGTCCAGGTATCATCATCTTCCACTGCAAAATCATAAGCATGTCCTGTGATGCTCCTCAATGAGCCTTCAGCATTTAGCCAGGTCTCACACAAAGAAAATGACAGCAGTAAAGATATAAAGATAATTAGTCAAGCAACACAGCTACGCAAGATAGTATTCACTTGCTAATACAAAGAGAGCTCATTTCACAAATCATGTACACCAAATGTCAAACACCAGAGCCTATTCCTGTTCTTATCATTTTCAATAGTATGTATACTGTCTAGGTGGCTAGCATGGGTAGTCACGACTCTCACGAACCAAGGTGGCTGGAATGGCCTGATACACTGATATATTGCGTAGAGTGTGAGTGTCAGGGTGGATAGTCCAAAAAGGTCCTTTTCTTAGTTTCTTTGCATTTCTCTCTTTATAGAGCATGTTGTAGTGGAAAGTAAGGTCAGCTTGAGCATGAAGGTCAGGAAGGTCTTCAAATGCATTAGCAGCATTAAAACTCAGGGTAGCATCATGCTGTAAAATATAGTGTCCAAACTGGTTAGTGTTCCCATGCTCATGGATATTGTACTCTCCTTGAGCAGGACTCCATTCTGCACATTTAAAAATGCTTGACCCTCTAATAGCATATAAGCGGACAGCTCCAGCAGCTGAACCTTCAGGTGAACAGTCACTCAGCGGGCAAGAGCCACGCCAGAATTTACAATACTTGCCCATCATAACTACTAACGTAGTAAACCAGTTCGGACTGTGATCAAATCGCAGAAAAGAAGTCCAGGAATTTGGGACCTCATTATCCTGCTGAGTCAGATCAAGGTTTGGGGGTATGTCTATAGAGTCAAGCATATCTGCAGCATGTTGCCACAACCTCAGGTTTCCTGCATAAGCTAGAGAGGCACCAGGGGTTGACATGATGTGCCGCTCAGATTTATTGTTGTCGCAGTTTGCTTGGAAAGCCCTAGGTTTCTCGGGCCATTAACATCTCTTGAAAACTGGGCCTGATTAATATTGGCTTGGGAGGCAACTTCACAAATGGAGTTAAGCCTAGAGATGAAAACACTGATGTTAGGAAGGTGGGAAGCAAAAGTCCGCCTCATACCAAACCCTTTCTTTCTACTCCATCCAGGAGCTACGGGTAAAGCAGGGGTAACCTTCCCAAACCTACCTGTAACGGTAGGATTGAAACAAGCCAAATTCTTAAAGCATGGAACCAAGGGCCCTGGGATCCATAAACTCTCAATAGGGTAAAACAATAGCAGATTCTGAAACTCAGAATTTATAGTGCAAGCACCAGCAGCCTCCATTGCACGCGTGGTCTGCAAGTACAACAGAACAGAGATATAGATCTGTGAGTAGGGGGGAACCCAACCCATGCAATTGTCGGTCCATCCTTTAGTGGATGCCATAAGCTTATCCATCTCATTCAGATAATAAATAGGGGACTGAAAACAAGGGACAAAGGTCGAAACTGAAGGAAAAGTAACCGTCCGCATGGGATAGTTGGCAGCGGCAGTGAACATTGCTGCCTCAGTTGCAGAATTGTCAGTAGCCCTAGCTGGACCCATAGTAGCCCTACTAGTTTGAAAGCAGGTCATCTGTGCATCAGCAGCCTCTCACCTCCGCCTCACGTTCTTGAACAAAATTCCAGGCATAGTCGTTTCCTAAAGAGTCAAGTTCAGCAAGATTCCGTTAGCATTCAAGTTGGGAACAACATAATGTCAGTGTAACCCGGATAAAAGCCTTTCAATGGTCAAAGGAAAAAAAAAAAGACCCAGAATTCCAAATGAAATTGAACAGAGTGGTCCTTTGTTGTATTTACATAGTGTTTGTAGTCACCTACATGATAGATGGTAGTAGTACATTCTGGGCAAAAATGAATGGACTTTGGAAAATCAAAAATAAAATTGAGGTATGCAAACAATCATCTTGAAGAAAAAAAATTAAGTGAAGTATTAATTTAGATTCTTATACCTCAATTCCCTTTCTGATTATCCAAAGTCCATTCATTTTTGTCTTCACAAATTACACTTCTACTGTACTCACTTGCTTAGTCACTAAGTCACTAGTCATCAACTGGACATACTTCATGCTTTAGCCACTTGTTTCCCCACTTTTTCATCCTTTCTTTTCTTGCATTGTTTAGTGCGCAACTAGTGACCATAAAGAACATTAAAGAACAGAAGTAGTAATGATCAAGAAAACTACTCGAACCTCAATTATATATTTTGAACTCTAATACCACACATATCACAATACCATACATCAAATCACCATTATTCAACCTAGCTAACAGACATAAGAGAGAATTTGCAATGAATCTACCAAGAGGCATACCGACAAACATTAACTTAACAAGAAGCTTGTGTGATAATATAGAGATCATTATAAATACAGCATTCATACAAACTGAAAATGCTTTAAAAAAACATTCTCAATCTCAAAGGAAATTATGCTGGCCAGCAAAGGGTTAAAAAGCATGCCATCAATCAAACTAGAGTGACTATCACCGCAGCACCAATATTTATCTACCTTGGACCGTGCTACTCCAAACATATTGAGACAATATAAAGTTTCCCACCATGAAGAAAACGATATTAGCTTCAAAAAGTCTAAGCCTAATAGCTCTCCTTCAACAAAACATCAATGAAACACAACTAGTCCGGCATTCGTTTTCAGATTTGAAGAATCAAACACCAACTGTGTAACACAACTAATTTCTGAGATAAAAATATCCGCCACATATATCTTAATCTACTTCTAATACTATTGTCCGATTAGTATAAACAACCAATATAGCTTATTCATTTCTAATTTTCGAAACGATTTAGCTTATCCATTTCTAATTCTAGCAACAATTAATTTTTTTTACTTTAATATAGCAAGCCAAAAAAGGATGTTATCAATTACATCGTTAAAACCCGGCAATTCCCCAATCCCCTTAAGATATTGAAATTATGCCTGTAATTGTAAATCTTTGATTAAAACCTTCAAATTGACAAATTCGTTCATTACATATGAGCAGAAAATCATAGTTACTAAATCCGACCTTATTCGAACCTAATTGGAACATATGAGCAGAAAATCATAGCCCAGATTCTAAAAATTAAAAACCCTAGCACTTTAATCTGAACTTCAAGGTCAGGAATCAGGATTAATAGCCTTAATCAAAGAACAGTCGTAAAGAAATCACACCAAATGATGATACTCTAGCAAAATTTCCAGACTTATGCAAAAAGAAATTTCAAAAAATAATAATAATAAAACTATAATTTGAACAAAAAAACCGCAAATTATCAAAAAAAAAATGTATAATTAGAGGATAAATTGAATGCATACGGCATACCAGAAGATGTTTATGAGCTATACTAGACGACGATAATCTGCCGAAACGAGGAGCCGGCGATGGCGGTGAGAAAGAGCAGAAATGGAGTTCTAGTGGAAAAACAGGAGAGTTGAGAAGACAGAGAAGCGCCAATTTTATTTTCTCTGAGCGCCAAAATGAAAATGCATATTAAGGATTCCGTAATCCGTATGGACATTTTAAAATTGAACGGAATTAACAAAATATGGTGCATTGGTGCGTTTTATTCGCCTAGTTTTTAGTTATATGATCTTATTAGAACTATTTTTAGTTATAAATTGAATTTGGGTACCCTTGATTAACCCTTGTTACAACTTATCTAAATTAATTTATCCTGAATTTATCTTTTCTAAATTGATCTTATCTGAACTTATTAACCCTGATCTGAACTTATTTTTCCTTAATAAGTGAAAATAAGGTGAATAGAACAGGGTCTTAGTTTCAGCCTTTATTCCAGTCTGGTTAAAACTCTTATATAAATAATTATATAAAAATTATTATTGGTATATACAAACATAATGTGTAAGTACATTTTTCTCATTTATGTGTGAAATATTTTACATGGTATATTCTTTTTTCAAAAAATTTATTTTGTTGGCATTTTTTGCAGATTTTAATGTAATATTGTTATATGTATATGGATTTGATTCCTCTATTCGGATGATCCCCATGAAAGTCGTTCCAATGTTCAACATTCACCAATTCTAGATTCTTCCACAAATCTCCGTCAATTTCTCAACATACTAAAATTTTCGAGAAATTTTTAGTCCTTAAAACCTAATTTATTGGGCTTATGCAATTAGGGCACTTCATTGGTGATACGCACAAGAGAAGCCACTTGTCTTAGCTTCCTACCTATTACACCTCTTTGTACTATTCACCTTCTATTTGTAAATTTTCTATTTCTAATTTTGTACTACTCCCTCATAAGTTCATATAGTGAGAGTTTTCTTATACTACTTATCATTTCAAGGTTCTTATATTCTCTTATTTTCATATAGTGGATTATTTGAGATAATTTTGTACACCACATTATCATATAGTGGATTATTTCGATGCTCGTCGTTTGTGGATTTTTTTGGTCTTAGTTGAGACTTTTTCCGATGTTAAATATTGTGTGTCTATTTGTATTTACCATTTATCTTATTATATAGTATATACTACTATTCAATCTCTACACCTTAAATATGTTTTTGCTACGCACTTATTAACCCTAACAAGTGATATTAGAGTCAAGGTTGATTATTTGAGTGTCTGCACATTAAAGATGTCTTCACTTACGAAGTTCAAGATTGATAAGTTTGATGCAAGATTAGTTTCAACATTTGGAGAGTCCAAATAAAGGTCTTTCTCACACATAATGAATAAAAACGGGTACTTTATGGCAAGTCAAAAAAACCCATATAAGCTATGATGGACAAACAATGTCAATAGTTGGATGAAAAAGCATTGTCCACGATCCAACTATGTTTAATGAAAGAGGTTTTACGCGAGTCACAAAGAGACAGTAGTCGGTTTATGGTTAAAGTAGATAGGAGTCTCTCTACATGACTAAAAGTCTCGCCAACAAACTTCGTCTCAATGAAAGGCTTTATATAACTTGGATGGGCGAAGACATGTACTTATGTTCAATCTCATCTCAAATAATTAAATTCTATTATAATTGGTCCGGAAAATCTAGATGTTTAGATTGAATATTAGGATAAGGTTGTATTGTGTTGTTAATTGCCTCTAGCTTTCGCCTTCATAAAATACCTTCAAGGATATCATGTTACATGGTAGCAATGATTCTTTTCCTTTTAAGGCTGCTAAATCAAATTCACGCTTGAAAGAAAAATTTGACCTTGAAGTAGATTATGATGAAAATAAATGAGGTTATATGTATGGTAAGAGGGAGATTACACGAAAAAATAGTACCAATAATCAGGCCATATCTAATGGGCATATAAATCCAAGGATTTGAGGCATGGGCGCAATGTTTTTAATTGCCGAAAGTTAAAGAAAAAGCTCGAAAGAGAATAAAATGAGAAGAATGCCAAGGATTAGCATTCTTCTCATTTTCTGATGATGTTCTCTTGGCTACTTCTCTACAAAGAAGTAAGACTTTTTACGGGGTACTTGATTCCGGCTGTGCCTACCATATATGTGTCGACTTTATTGACAACCGACTAGTAAAGAACATATCTGTTTCTACGGGAAATAGGTCTAGTCGCAAAGTTCATGGCACCGGCTTTGTGCGGATCAAGACATTGATGGTAAGATCAGGACTTATCTAATGCTCAACATGTTCCTAATTTAAATCTTAGACTTAATAAAGGAAAACATATTTAATGTGTAAACACTCTAATTAATCTTGGCTCTGATATCACTTGTGTAGGGTTGGTGAATGCACACCAAAAGCAAATTAAAAATCGAGAAAGTGAAAAGTATAATTAGGGAATTAAACAAAGGCAAAATAAATAGTAGAAGAAAAATGGGCGTGGTAACAAGGATATGCACCTTGTAAATTCGTTCCCTTTGAACCTTGTAAAAACCACACCATATAAATGTCTTACTAGTTCAATGAATATCACCCACCATCCATCTAAGATTGATATCAATAACTTTTTCCTCCCCGAGCATCCTGACCAAAAAAAAGTAGAGTATGAGTTAGATACCAATCACATGCAATCCATTGCGACATTGGGTCTTGGGTATATATAATTCCGTCAATCCATTAGTAGCTCAAGTTAGTTACCAATTGTTAGGGTTTATATTAAAGTACACTACAAGATGTTGGTAAAATACATGTCGATTCCAATAACAAAATAAAGAAAATGAGAGGGAAAATACTTGATTGAAAATCTCAATAATATAGTTGTGTCGCAGAACAAAATCTACTACATTAGAAGTGAAATTCACCACCGCTAGTACATGTTTCCAGATGACGCCCGCCCCCCCAATGTTAGCACAACTCTCCCCGTAATTCATGTACCCGAACCCAAAGAGTGGAGTTATTCAAGAATTGTTCAGATCTCAAAGGGGATAGGTTTGTGTTTAGGGTTTCATAGTTAACAAAATTGTATGTCCCAATTTTGGGTTAAGAGGGTATATATATATTAGTAAACAAGAAAAGGAAATAAAAGAAATATCTTTTTCTCATACTCCACGCGCACACGAGCAACCGACTTATCGCTCGCATGATAGATTGGCCCTTACGTACACACACATACACCTGAGCTATAGCTCGGCCTTGCCGCAACTTTTTGTGCAATTGACCTATCGCTAGCTCATCTGCGAGCTATAGCTCGACCTTGTTCTCGTGTGTCATCACCAAGAGAACGATAACTCTAGGTAGCGCGGTGATAACTTATTCCAATTTGCATTATACTTGTCATTACTCCAACACAACATGATAAACAATTTGCTGCTCATTAGCTAAGTAATGTTCAATCGCAAAAATAAAGTAACAATTATTGGAGTAGTAACCAGTGTTTGAAAAAGTGAGCGCAAGACGATATGGGGTAAGCACCTTTTTTGGCCCTGGCGAGGCAGATTTAATGAGGCACGCATGAGGCGCACCTGAAGAAAAACTCTGCCAGTTTTTACCAACTGTTAATATATATATAGTGCACCTCACTTCAAAGAGGCGCTGCATAACCCTTATCGCGTCAGTGTGCCTTGAGCTTTTTTTTATACATTGATAGTAACTCGCAAACCTATAATTTTGTTACCATTTTACCAATTTGTTTTTTGATGTGGGCTAATATTCCTTTCACATACATATGAGGATTTCCTAATAAATGCAATTTGATCCGGCCAACAAGAATTGAAAGTTATTGTTATAAGCAATCTACAAGAAAATTAAAAATTCCAATTAAAGGGATGATTAAAGTCACCTTATATCCTTTGTTGTTCACCTTTCTTTAGGAAAACTTAATTATAATAAGGGTTAATCTCTAAATAAGATATAGTAAATAAATTTAGAAAATATAAACTCGGATAAGTTTTGATAAGGGTAGTTAATCACGTAAATAAAATACTCTGTACATGTTTTTTTACGGTTTTTTCACCATATACTCCTGAGTTTTTTATTTATTCACCATCATGAAAATTTTCAAATTTACCATATACTTCTAATTTGATACTAAAATTCACTATATAACCCAAATGACAATAAAATGAGTGAATTTTGATTAGTTAGGCATCAAAACCACCTTAGACCTCTCCTTTCATCTCCAAAACCACTTATCTTATTTATCCTTGAAACTACTCTAAATCTCCATACTCATATTTGTATGATCGATTTTGAGAATGAGAAAAAAAAAATTTGGGGTGGGGAAATGAAATGGGGGTGATTTCAGAGATAAAAGAACATATTTAGAGCCTGTTCTCATACGTTAAAATTCAGTTCAGTTCAATTCAATTCAGTTCCTAATTTCCTTCTCTTATAAAATATTCATTTCAGTTCAGTTCAGCTGAGTTCAGTCAATGAGAACAGATCCTTAAGGTGGTTTATGTATAGCATTTTGTAAAAATGAAAATAGTTTTTTTTGTAAATTTTTATTTATTTTTAATTTTTTTTTTAATGGGATTCACGAATCATAAAAATGCTCGTAGACTTTTTATATTTTTTGGAGATAAAAATGCTCGTAGACTTGTGAGTTATAGGGACCAGCATAAAAAGCACAGAAAAACATATTCTCTCCCAAAAAAAATAAAATAAAAAAAAGGTTCGGCTAAGCTCGCATCTCATTGGTCCAAATAAAAGCACACGGATCACCACCAAAACTGTCATAAACCCATCCAAATCCGTCGATTTTCATCAAATCTAACGGTTAAAAATCTCTGAAAAAAGTAAAGCCCACTATAAAAACAACAATTTCACAATTAACCACCCCATCACACTCGAAAATCTTACACATTTCATTTCAATCTTCTTGTTCATCTTCATAAATTAGGAGAGAGAAAGTAAGACAGAGAAAATGGATACAGGAGGAAAAGCGAAGAAGGGAGCCGGAGGAAGGAAAGGAGGTGGGCCGAAGAAGAAGCCAGTTACAAGATCGGTTAGAGCTGGGTTACAATTTCCAGTTGGTAGAATTGGAAGGTATTTGAAGAAAGGAAGGTATGCTCAACGTGTTGGTACTGGTGCCCCTGTTTACTTGGCTGCTGTTCTTGAGTACCTTGCTGCTGAGGTATAATTCAATTCTCTCTCTTTTGACCGTTTCATTTGATTTGA